ACTGTTACTTCTTTGTTATCTAAGCAACCTCTATCTCTTTCCATACGCCCTTTTGTTTCTTTCCGACTTCTCACTCAACCTCCTCTCTCCGTATTTTTCTTCTCTTTTTTAAACCTTGTCCCCCCTACGTGTGCTGGGATGGAAGGGGAAGAAAAATAGAGGTTTGTATTCTGAGAGAATGTTAAAACGCTGCACAATGGCACGGAATCCAGGAAAACTTGTAACGACACACACAGCTGTAGAAGTGCGGGTTTCAGTGTACAGGGTCCTGGGTATTGTTCTGGCTCCTTTCATGTTGCAGGGACTCAGGGGTCTTGACCACGTTTTAGCCTTTCTACAGCACAGTGTCACTTCCCACAGGACTCAAAGAATAACAGAATTTCAGGGTTTCAAGTTCGGTCCTTGCCTTTTCTATAATAACTTAGAAAATGAACTTGGATGCTGTCATACCAGTTCATTCTGTGATAGAGAAGGGGTGATGCCAACTGTGTCACATGTAGCTCCTCAGTAGATGCTGACGTCCATGAAGCGAGATATTGATGACTTCAACAACGCCTTGGAACATGCTTCAGATGAAAATATCTGAAGGCAGATTTGATGATTATAGCTTTTAACAAAATCAAAAATCAAATACCTGTAGGTTGCAAAAATCTGTTTTACAGAGTGTAATTTTTTTCTCATTTTCTCCAATGTCCAGCACCATGTGTATGGCTTTTAGGATGACAAGAGTCGTCCATGATGGACATAACCAGGGCCAATGATGCTGCACACAGCATACACCTCTGCCTCTGGCCCCATGAATGACATTGACCCACAGCAAACTCTCTGTTGTCCCCAGTTTGGATTTTAAGCTTTTGTTTCTACTAAAGGAAGTCAATTTACACTTTCAAAATCTCAAGTAAAGAAAGGTGTACACTTCATTACTCTGTATAAAAATAGCTTTGACATGCAATGGTGTAATCTCCAAATAGATGGAAAGACACGGGGAGGGGAGCGAGATGTTTGCTTTTAAAGTCTGGTTTACAGACACTGCTGCTTGTCAGAAATACTCTCCTTCTTCAGTTATAAGAGTTGCCTTTTGTATTTTTTAAGGATGCTTTATAAGAATTTCTAATTAATGTATAGTTAAACTTAGGTCATCCTTGACTTGGAAACACATTCAAGGACTTTGAAAGTCTTTTTAAGCAGTCATGAAATAGGTTCTGATTCAAATTGTTTCCGACAAAGACAATAGATGAAAAACATTATTGCCTATTGCCTGGCTCACTGAAAAGATCTACTCTGGGGAAACCTTGCAAACTCGCTTCTTTACCAGACTCTAAATATAGCATGATTTAATCACCTGGATTCTGCATGAAATATGCAAATGTACTACTTCATCTCTTTTCCACAAGAAATGAGAAATACATATTTTAGGAAGAAAAAAATACTGATGTTAGATTTAGAAAAATCTCACCTTTGTCAATACTTACGATAGTCCATTTAATTATGTGATGTAATTGTAGAATTTTTCTTTTTTTGATTTGTGTAGATTCCTCTGTTTTTCCTAGACCAAAAAAATAATGCTAAACAATAAACAAATGTCATTTCCATGTAACTATAGAATTTCTGAAAATTAAGTCACGTGAACTGTGTCCCAAGTTCATTTATCTAACTGGAGGTTAGAATGTATAGTAGTATGGTATATTTGGTATCCAAAGATGAACGTACAAAGTTACTTCTATAAAATGTAATCATCTTAAATACTAGTAATATTCTTTGATTTCTCAAATATATACAAAGTTGGACACAACTTAAATATCAAATAAGGATTCAATCACTGGTCCATGCTTTCCAAGAATAGCATTCTTAGCCATATAGGGCTTTATTTAAACTAACAAGTATGTATTCTTCACAGTAGAATTATAAGATCATTATAGATTGGTTTGCTGTCAAGTTTGCTGCTTATGGGAATTAGCTATAATGCTGCAGTGATAAATCACAATGATATCACACAGTGTGATAAATCATACTGCAAAGAAATTTAGCATGTTTAACACGCTATTCATGAAAACATAAGTACCATTTTTTGCATGCTAATATAAAGTTATCATTTTGTAGGCCAAACATTGCTTGGATATTGGCAATATTGTATGGTTCAGTCCAGTATTATCATCAGTGGAGAGATGCACCAGAGTATTCCCCGTGGAATAATGTGCTAATACAGTGTCACTCTCAAGAAGTTGTTTGCTCACTGGCTGAATTATCAGTGGTCCCAGAAATACTATCTCATGCATTGGACTCCTGGGGATATTTTAATGATTGTCAGTAATTGCCTTGCATTCCAAGGCTGTGCTAGTTTCATATGATTATAAACAAGAGTCTTATCAATGTTTGGTGTTAAAGCTGGTTATAGTTCCAGAAACCCAGATGACATACTTATAATTCAAGAATGCACCAATTTGTAGTAGATGCTGTGAACTTTGATTCTAAAAGTCATGGAAACTAACTCATAATTTTATGGATAGTTACCTTTATCGTCTCTATGAGTATAAGCCTCTTAGAGCTCTAGTTCCTAAAGTATTAACTTACACTCTTGACTGTAACAATATATTCAATTTTCTTTCCTTATGCCCATTCTATTATTGACTATAAACTAACTGGAGAGCAAAACTGAGTGTGAATCCAAACACTATTTCTATTGTAGATTTCTATTTCTTAAATCCTTCAGATGTAGGACCCAACATTCACTTCACCCTATTCTAAAAAATTCAAGTTATTCATCAGTTGTCAATATGACTTGATTGTTTATAGAAGTTGCCTTTAATGGCAAAGTGAATTTTGATTACTGATGAAGTGATTGCTTAGTCATGTAATGTGGTGTACACAGAAACAGTTCTCATGAAGGGATTGTTAAATGGTCCATGGGCCTGAATTGATATGGAAATTGCAGACTCTCAGATCTATGACAGTGCACTTGCCAAGGGCATTCAATTTCCTGTGGATGTTGACCAAGAGAACTTGTACAAAAACATAAAAGAAATGTACGAGAATATTCCAGGAAAGGACCTCATGGTGGACTCATTCTCCTAGTGATCTGACATATTCCCGGTGCCACCTCCAGCTTCTGTTGCAATAATCGCAGCTCTGTGATAACGATTTACAACCCACACATTGCAGACAGAACTGTTTATAAGTTTACATTTGCTTCTTTTGCATTTACATAATTTGTGGATCTTATCCAAGTGTCTGGGGAATGTTGCACCTCATCATTGACAAGCAAAAGAACAGGCTAAAAAGTGGCGGTGCTGGTCAGAAAGGCTAGATTGAGTCAGTTGTTGGAGGAATTAGCTTGCTTCCAGTCAATAAAACAACTAATTTTACTTAATGGGGTGAAGTCTAAAGATGTGCCTTGTCTTTTCTCATCTATATCACCCATGTTTTTACTTCTCTTGCTTCCCCATTGCTTAACACGAAAAGCAACTGATAATTTTTTGGATAAATGAATCTGTTAAAGAAATGTCTGCAACTCATAAAAATATACCTTGGATGCAATTATAATCTATCTAAATCCTTCCTTCTCTTTCCTTGATTTTTACTGGAAGCATCAGTTTTTCCTGGGAGTTACAAGGCTAGAGGTCATGGAGCCTGTGCTTGCAATGTGTGTATTCCTATCTTAAGATATATCCAAAGACATTTTAAGGTTTTTAAGTTTTCCTGGCTGGTGTGGCTCAGTGGGTTGAGCACCAGCCTGTGAACCAAAGGGTCACCGGTTCGATTCCCAGTCGGGGCACATGTCTGGGTTGCAGGCCAGTTCCACAACTGGGGACATGCAAGAGGCCACCACACATTGATGTTCCGCTCCCTCTTTTTCTCCCTCCCTTCTAATCTCTCTTAGAATAAATAAATAAAAACTTTTAATTAAAAAAATTTATTTATCTTTTTTATTTAATTGTGCTCATAATTATTTAATTAAATATTTTTTTCATTTGACAGTAACTTCTTAAGTAGTGCCTCCATGATTCACATGGTACAGTTTTTGTCACTCACCAGAAGACTGTCTGACCTTAAACAACTCACTTTACTTCCTTGGTCTTTAGTTTCTTTGCCTACCCAAAGAAGTGTCTTCCACTTTTTACACCTGCAAATTAAGTGATGAGGATTTCTAAAACTCTCTTTGCAACAGAAATGCCTTATTCAAACAATCTCAGTCTCTTTGTTTCCTGCACATTTTCTCCCAACAGATTCTCCTCTACTTTCCGTTCTTGGAGCTCCCCTCCCCCACCCCAACACCTGATGATTGAAGAGGGATTAAAATGTCATCCTCTTCCTGTCTGTGGGTACTACTCAAGGCAGCATCCAGAGCCAAGTGTTCCCACGCGAATAATACTGGTTGTCTGACTGGTTGTCACCTGTGGACCTTTGGCGATACTCATGGTTATAGAATTTGTAAAAACCTGCGTGCATTCTAAGAATCTAAACATAAATGGACCGACTTAAGTTTGATAGTAAATCGTGGTTGCCTTTTTCTTCTCATCTTAGCCTGTTTCGTTGGACCTTACTGATACGCACTCTCCGTGGGTACCCACGTGCCAGGCTTGGCTACGTCTGCTTAACACGCAAAATGATTAGGACTTTGGAAATACTTGTGGGGTTCTTTTTGGTAAAACTCTGTGTTATTTAAATTGTAGTTTACCATCTGATATTTTAATTCTGTTTACGAAAAATACATTGCTACGTTTAGTCAATGTAAATAAATCACTACAAGTGTTAATGGATGACAATATGAATGCATATTGATACAACATGATAAGCTTCGTGCAGATCCATTCATTTAATAACAAATGTAATTCAATCAATACATTCTTTAGTATGAAGTTGTAATCTATATTGTATACTTTAAATGGGAAACCAAACCTTAAAATGCAATCTGTCTGGTTAGTCATCTGGGGAGGAATATATGCTGTTTGTTGACTTTCTGTGATTCATGTGTACTGATGAATTTCTTTTTAAACTTGCAGCAAATAGTGGCAGCAATAAATGCAGGGATTATACCATTAGGAAACACCTCCAATCAAATCAGTCACTGGGACTTGGGAAGTTCCTTCTTCTTTGCTGGCACTGTTATTACAACTATAGGTAGGAGACAACTTATTTTGTTTTTTTAATTTTGGTACAGCTTGTGAGCTAAAGTTCATTTGTTTGAATTTTTTTTACAGTCAGTCAACATGGTTTATGTATGGTAGAAAACTAGATTTCAGTGAATTGATTTTGGGAAGAGGGTTTGAAGGTTTGAACAAAGGAACGATGAAGATGAATTAGTTATTATTTCCAAATGCTGAGTTGAGTTTGCGATGTGTCTGAAACTCCAGAGCAGAGCAGTTGCCATTTGACTAATGGATAGGGACTTCATGAAATGGCTTAAATTATTATTGGGTGGGGGGTCAAGAAGTTTTGAATTTCTCTGCATCTCTGATTGTGTGTCTGTAGAAAGAAAGGATTAGAGTCCAATTTTGATGTTTTTGTTTCATTATTTGGTATCAACTTTTTCAACTTATAAATTTTAAGTCTATAGTATTTCCACAGATTGTTCCCATTCTTCTATGCATGTCTATTATAATTACTTTGGGGCTCTCTTTTTATACATTATGTGTTTCCAATAGCATATGTATACTAAAAAAATTAATGCTGAACTATGAGGATTACAAGAGAATTAAAGTTGAAAGTCTTGCTCCTTTGTTTTTTAATCATGTTGCTGGTTGTAGCGTTAAAAGGGTGCAGAGTGGAATGCAGTCTCTTCTGGGGGCATGAATTTGCATACACTCCACACCTTCTGGGCCGCAGATTGGGTACATGTAGGTGACTTCTCTTCTGTTAGCCACTCAGTATCCCCCCAAATATCCAGAGGATGTAAGTGCAGACCCCATAGAGAAGCCATATTTGCCATGCTGTGGGGACCAGGACAAGTTATAGCTGTGTTGTTTAGTGGAAAGAGGTCAGTTTCAAGCATAATTTTTAAGAGAGGTAAGGAAATTGGCTCATCACAGTTATGAAGGAATTTTAAGAATAATTGTGCAAAACTGAGTTCTGCCCTTTCATATATGCTCATGAGGAGATGTCCTCTCGGGGGCCTGATCTCTGATTTTGGGGTGTGAATTAAGATTCTACTAATTTTAATTTTATTCTTTGATGTCAGTGACAAATGACCACTGAAATGCAAAAGGTTTTCACATTGGGACTTTATATCAAAGTCCTAAATAAGAAAACATGGGCGACGTATGGATGAACTCTCCCTTAAAATTTTCCTCTCAGAGGAATTTGTAGTGATCTATCATTATGCGAATCCTCTGTAATACCTTGTGCTGGATCAGTTGTCAGTGAAATAAATACCTTAGCATGTTGATTTTTGCCTTTGTTACAAGGTCAAGGAACTGTGTTTGCTCTTACATTTCCATTAGCCAGGTCAGAAAGTTGCGTGGCTGTGAAAATCTGGAAGAATGGCGACCTTGATTTCTAACCATAATAACAGGTTAACTTTGGAACTTAGACATCGTGGCCATTTCTACTATGGAAATGACTGTTTATCGTGGAAACTACTTAGAATCTGGGAGGGAAAAAAAGCACACAAGCTGAGTGAGAATGGTTTGTTTCTGCCCAATGAAAACTCAAAAGGCCAAGTTAGAACTCATCATGACCACCACTAAATTATTGCCCAAGAGACTTAGTCATTATACAGACTTATTGTTGCATTGCAAGTTTATAAACAGTCTCATTTTTTGAATCCCAAGTTCAGTACATTTTGCAGACGTATCCTTCAACACATGAAAAAATAAACCATTATTACCAGCCTTACCTCAAATTATAGCCATTAAGCATAGAAACTGATTATTTAGGTTGGTTAGGTAGCTGCCCAACAGCCCAGATTGCCTACTGTTCTATCTGGGGCTTTAGTCTTAGGTAGATTAAGTTATTCTAGGTCATCCACATTTATTTCCTGATCTTTTACTCCCAGGTCAAGGCTACCTCCTCTGACCTTGGGCTAGATTATGGTCTAGGGCTGGGTAAACATTTTGACCTCTTTCATAGGCATGCATTTGATATCCAAATCATTATTCAATAAAATTTATAGTGTAATTACTAATACTGCTGATGACAAGAATCGTGTGAGCCTTGAAGCAGTTTTTAGCAGCTATAGGAATTGTAACCACTAGCATTACCTGCATTGTATTAGTTATTTAAAAAGGAGAACTTGAGACAGTTTGGGAGAATAGATTGCAGTGGGTCTGCTAAGGTGCCTGGTACAGGCTGTGTTTCTGGAGCTGTAATGGCAGCAGTTGCCCAAGATTTTTGTGTTCAGTGTTATTGATTTGCCTGAGAAGCCAAAGTGACCCTTGCTATTCAAAAGAAATATAGCCAAGAGAAGTTCAATTACACAAAATGGAATATTAACATTTAAGGACTAATTTTAGAGAATCTTTTCATATATCTATGTACACTTTCCAAAATCATACCCTTGCAAACCCTTTACAAATTCCATTCCATTGTTGTGCAGACTAAAATTCATTTTTGACTATTCTCTCTCTCTCATAGTTCACTTTCAGTCCATTCTGTTGGCTCAGATTTTAAAGGTGATCCATAACTTAACTGCTGCTGCTCGCCATTCAAACTGCCACCATTTTGGTCCAAGAGAGCATCATCTCAATGCCAGCATCCTTGTAGGAAGGATTCTCTGCTCAGAACCTTCAGGGGTACCCAACTCAGTCAGAGCAAAACCCATCCTTCATTCCCTCTCTCACTGTAGACACATGTTCCATGAGGTTAAGGGATTTTTAAGGGTTTGAATCTTTTCTGTATTCCCAGTGCCTGACACAGAAGAGGTGCTTAGTAATTATTTTTTGGAGTTAAAAACAAATAGGCATTCCAAACAGTATGAACTGTGGCTTATTTGAAATGACATAACACTAAGATGTTATCTATTATGCTAAAGTCTTAGCTCTTTCCATCGGCTTCATTACTAACTTTTTTGTTTGTTCACTTGTTGATTCCACAAATAAAAAAACTATCACTCCGCTACTGTAATGATAAAAGGTAAATTACTTGAGCTTAAGTTGTACACAGATGGGTCAAGGGGCCAATGGGCCGATAATCATTGACCATAGAGTGTCAGTTATACTTAAGAACATTTAATGGGAATGGATAGGAGTCACACCTTACATAGATATTGGGGTAGGTGGGTGTAAGGAAGGGGCAAGGAATACTTCCGTTTCCTTAGTAAATGTCCCAGTTGAGACTAGAAAGGCAATTAGGAACTTTCCAGGTGAATAAAGATGGAAAGGGAATATTTGAGGCGTTGGGAGTTCATATGGTTAAGATCAGAGGTCAGAGACAATACGTTCCATTTGGGACTGCAAGTTACCTAGAGCTACTGTTTGTCATTGATGGGTTCATGCGCAGGGCCAGGTAAATCAGTGAATCCACGTCAGTACCTCCCATTGGATCAGTGCTACTTCTGCCACTGCCAGGGGTGGAAGGAGGAAAGGACACAGCCCCTGCCTGCAGTCTACTTAGTGAGACAAAATTTACATGTGTGACGTAACTGAAGAATAACAGAAGCAGGTATAATCCCACGTTACATGGAACCACGGACTGAGTGCCATCAGATCTGAGACCAAGCAAAGCTCACGTGGGCTGGAACTGGGAGGAAAGGCTTAATGAGAGAAGTTGAATGTGAACTATGCTTTGAAGAAAAAGTTTTGCTTTCAGTTGATGAAGGGGAAAGAGCCTCCAAGTCTGTGACCTGGCTAAGCAAAAATGCAAAGAGAGGAATGAACTTGATTTATCTTGATGATAAAAAATAAGTATTTGAGTGTGCCAGAGGAGTTGTTTAAAGGAATAGTGGAAATACTATTGACTGACTCAGATGGGAAGAGTACAGTTGAATGTAATTTGAGTTTTCTGAATTTTAGACTTACTCTAAGACAGAACATGGATATTTTTTCTTTTTTTGGCAAGTGGAGGGACAGGGTAAAAGTGACATAGAAAGTGTACCTGTCATGAAGGGGCTTCATGGATACTGACAGCTAAGAGGCAATTAGGAGGCATTTCAGTGACCCATGGAAGGAGCACGAGAGTACTGACTGGGGTGATTGGAGCTGCTGTGAATGAGAAGATTAAGACACAATGTGCAAATAATTAGATGCAGAGATTGTCAGACCTTCGTGATGACTACAGTGGAGAGAGAGGAGTTGAAATGTTGAATATGGAGTTGTGTATTTAGGTAGCAAACTTGCCACTCATAGAGAAAAGTAGTCAGTCCTGTAAAGAAAAAGGAGGAAAAAAAAGATCAAAAATTTATATATTGTATTGCATATGGAAGCTTCATTTTAGGGGCTCTCCACCTGAGTTTTTATTTGTATATTTTTTAATTCAGACAGATTAGGAATACAGGTGGCCAGGCTACCTCTTAGAGCTCACATTGAGGTTCAAGAGACCAACAATCAATCATTGTAATCAATAATAATTGATTGTTGATTATAATAGATTGCTATTATTGTTTAATTATTGGCACATTAAAACACATGGCCATTATCAATGGCCATACATACAAGAAGTTCATGTGCAGTGATAGTGAGTAGACAGTGGGGCTGGGTAGGCGGTGGGAGGTGTTCTAGAGGAAACTGATTCAAGACCTCTGAGCAGGTGACACTGAAGCTGAAACCCGGAGAATGGAAAGAAAGCAGCTAGGTAAGAAGAGTGAGTGCCAAACAAGTTCAGGCAAAAGGATCAGCCATGGCAAAAACCTGGAAAGGGAAGATTTTGGCAGGTGCAAGGAATACGGATGGGTCCATGCGACAGAGCCTAGAAGAAGCAAAGTTGGCAAGATTACTGTGTTTTACCATGTATAATGAGCACTTTTTTAGCTCAAGTTTTTGAGGAAAAAATAAGGGTGTGCATTATACAGGTGTATAATGGTTATGTATCATAGGTATAATGGGTATAATAGTCCCATGTGTAATGCACACAAAAACATGAGGGCTCATTATACACAGCAAAGTATGGTAACAATAGCCAGAGCATGTAAGACCTGGTAGGTCAAGGCAACACTCCTAATTCAGGGGGAAGTCATGAAAGGTAAAGGC